GTACCTTCTTGGACCAGGCCTGCCAGGGGCCTTACAGGCCTGGACAGCCACGGACTGCCATTCTAAGGGACCCACAAAAATGCCAGAGAAAGGCTTGTCTGCAGAGGCTGCCCAAGAAGCCTGCGTGGGCATAGACTGTCAGTTCAGATGGTCAGAGCTGTCTGGCAACTGCTACCCTGTGCAAGAGACATTCTGCCCTGTTTTCTGTTGTTGTTGTTTTTTGTTTTTTGTTTTTTAAAACATTGTCCAGTCTCCTGAAGAACATTGGCAAAGGCATTACCAAGTCATGAAGTTAGAACTGCACAGATAACAGTATACAGTTCAGGTTTTGTTTAGATGACAGGAGTCTGAGACTATTGGTTTTGTGGTCACAGCTTGGACATGCATCAGGGCTCCCTGGCCACCAGGCGGGCTCCAAGGGAAAGTACTGTTCGACCGTGAAGCACAGCCCAGTGAGACCTACCCTGGCTGCCTCCTTCCTTTTGACCCCCACCTCTGTTGGGAGACTCTGGGGACTTTGTGCAGAATGTGCACATTGCTGAACTCAGTGGAGAGGATAATGCAGCCAGCCAGCAGCTCGGCTCAGGTTGTGCTTGCCACTCATTCTCCTCTGCCCTCTTGTCTGTGGGTTCCTGTGAGGCAGTAGGGACCAGGCAGATGACCGGTCTATACAGTGACATGGCTGAAGGACATTCCAGAGTCATCCCTGAGAGGTGGTCCAGGACATCCTGTGAACAGCCTGGGGGCCCTCTGCATAGGCCACAGCAGTAAATACACCAGCTGGCAGGGCACTTTCCTGGTGAATTTTGTCAATGGCTCTCCTCTGCGTGGTGCGGCTGTCTCCTTACCTGGCCAGGCCCACCAGCTGTGCCCCTCTAGCCATAGCCCAGCATGTGCTGGCCAGAGCCACCCTAACCTTCGCCTCTTCTCTCCGGGAGCCTCTGCAATGTCTGTTTCACCTGGAGCATGTCCAGAGTTGTGTCTCATCAGCCCATGAATAGGGCCTTGTTCTTAGGAATTACTTAACACCATATTTCACGTCAACCAACCCAGGTGAGTTCCCTCTTGAGAATGCATAGCTGTTGTCTAGGGCTGAGAGCAGAGAAGGGCAGAGAGAGAAAGAAGAGGCCGAGACACTGAGAGCATTCCTAGGACCAGAGTTTTCAGGACAAGAACGTTCTGGGAAAGATTGTACAGACAAACAGCTGCAGCAGTGTTGGCCAGGTGAGTGGGCAGGGTGATGGCAGGGTCACTGGGCAGTGCTGCCTTCAGGACTTGTAGGCTGCATCTCTCTACCCGAGCAGTTACTGCTTGTTTGACCTGGCCCACAACTGGCTGTAGCTACGAGAGCTTGCTGACAGCTGGGCACTGGCTCTTCCCAGCAGTGCTGGTCATAGCGGCAGGAAGATGGGAGTCAGCTGGCCTCGGATTCCTTGTTAAGTATTCATAAAGTCCACGCAGCAAGAACGCCAGCAGGTGTGCACATTTGGGCTCGGGATGCAGCCCTATACGCAGTGTGCCTGCAGGTTAGTGCCTGTTCTCAAACACATTCCCGACAGGTAAGTAATACTTTGCTGGCTTTCAGGAAGGGTGTTTGCCACGCCTGCTATTGGTAACCTCACAGACCAGCAGAGTGAGCTCAGAGATGCACAGAACCCAAGCAGGGGGGCTTTGCTTTTCTCTAGAGTCCCCAGATGCTGCTGCCCTCTTGTTTCTAGCTGTCCCCTGCTCATTTCTGGTACTAAGTGATGACATCAGCCCGGGAGTATCTCATGACACACTCGGTGGTGCCCTCTGGCCATGCACTTTTGGTCCTAGTCTTTCTGAACTGTAGAGTTTTAAAGTGCTTACCAACTGCTCTCATCCGCTCCACAAGGACATGAGGCTTGTGGAAGGCATGGCTCAGGGCTGGGTTTGTATTTACTCTTTCGCTGGACTTAGCAGTCTGAGTCCTCAGTAATCTAGACCTGCTTTGGCTCCAGGAATAAAGGCAAGGATGAGGTCACATGAGCTCTGGGAGCTGGGGCAGTGCTCATCCCAGCAGCCATGTGCTTCTCTTGGGAAGGTGGCACCCTCCCACGCAATCTCCCAGGTGCCTAGTGTCACCTCACAGCCCTGTGTCCGTTGCTTCCTGTGGCTTCCCACCACTTGCCAGGAAGAAGCCCTCCATAAATGCCTTTGTTCTTTCTGTTGGAACCCTTGGGTATCAGGCAATATCACCAGGCAGGACCATAGGTGGAGGTGGGCCAGCACTTGAGCAGAACCTCAGTCACAGATATTGCCTAGCAAGACCACAGTATGCATGTGTGTGTCCTGCCAAGGTGCCTCTCGCTGCGAAGTGCACTTGTCCTAGCCACCTGCATGGGGCTCTTACCCACAGCCCTCTGGGGTAGATTTTGTCATCTCTCATGGGTTCCAGGTGAGCTACTGCTCACAGGTCTTAGTACTCAGGTCTTGTTGGAAGTCAAAGGGCTTTTGGACTCTGTCAACCCTAGGCTGTGGACTTCTGGGCTGGACCCCAAACACTTGCCCTCATTATATCATTGAGGATCTTACAGATCCCCAAGCAACAGTGTTTTCATCTGAAATGACAGGCCCTGCTCTCAGAGCTTCTTACATGTGAGTGGTAAGATAGTCAAGCCCAGCTGTGGCTCACCACATGTATGATGGAGAGAGCCAGCATCAGGAGTGTTGTGTGGTGGTGAAATGACATGGGTGCCAGCGCTGAGGCAGTAGGTGCCCACTGAAGAGGCTTACTCAGGTGAACATCTAAGCAGCTTCTAGTGCCCGTGAGGGTAAGGTGGAGCCATGTGGGCAGAGTTGCATAGAGGCAGTACAAAAGGCTCATATCAGCACGCACAAGGTCAGCAGACAGTGACTTTGTATACTGGCAGATGGTGGGCTTGGCACGGGCAGCCATTTTCATGAGAACATGGTTTGGCTTACTGGACGTGCCAAAGCCAACATCAGGCCTGTTGATTAGGGTGAAAGAATTCACTGGGCTGGTTTGGGCATCTTAGGTGTTGTGAGGTGCAAAGCTGTGCCTGCTTTCTCCTTGTCACTGAGCAATAATCATGTGGAGAGAACAGAAGCATGTGGAGAAGGTCTCAAAGCAGTTTGCTTTTCTTCCCGCTGTTTGGGAAGAATCTAGTTGAGTGTTCCCAAGAGCGATCCAGGATGGGTGTTGAGTGATCCCAGGCAGGATCCAGGGCTTATGTTGGTTAGTCCTTGGATGAAGCCAGGATGGATATTGAGTGGTTTTGGCGTGGGTCAGACTACCCTTCTGACGATATACTATTTCTCAAATTCACTTTTTCTAATATGTGTAGAGAATGAAGCACAGAATGCAAAGACAGGGCAGAAAAGCAGCCTGTGGCTGTGGGCCCTGCTGACTCCAGAGGTAGTTAAGAAAATACTAGTGTTGATCCTGATGTGGGGTAGGTTTTATGAAAAACTATTGTCAACACAAAAACCTGGCTCTCACCTCAAAGGGGATAAGAGAGATTATTCTGGAGCCAAGTAAGAATGACCATAGCTGGGAGCAGATTCTTGTCTCAGTTTGGTAACCATTTCATGAACTGTTTCATAGTAACAACAAAAGAAGCTATGAAGAAAGACCCTTGGTTACCCCAGGTAGGTGAGTTACAGAAAAGTAGAGAAAGCTGCTACAGGCCTCAGAGGTTATCTGATAACATTCTTTTTTAATATAATTTTTTATTTATTACAATTTATTCACTTTGTATCCCAGCTTTAGCTCCCATCTTCATCCCCTCCCAATCCTGGCCTCCCTCTTTCCCTGGTCTCCTCCATGCCCCTTCCCCAGTCCACTGATAGGGGTGGTCCTCCTCCCCTTCCATCTGACCCTAGCCTATCAGGTCTCATCAGGACTGGTTGCATTGTATTCCTCTGTGGCTTGGTAAGGCTGCTCCCCCGTCAGGGGAAGGTAATCAAAGAGCCAGTCACTGAGTTCATGTCAGAGACAGCCCCTGTTCCCATTACTAGGGAGCCCATTTGGAGACTGAGCTGCCATGGGCTACATCTGTGCAAGGGTTCTAGGTTATCTCCATGAATGGTTCTTAATCGTTGGGGTGGTGGAGGCTAGAGGTCTGTCTTAGCTAGTGTTCTATTGCTGTGAAGAAACACCATGACCACAGCAACTCTTATAAAGGAAATCTTTAATTGGGGCTGAGTCACACTTCAGAGAGGTTTAGTCCATTGCCATCATGGCAGGAAGCATGGCAGCACGCAGGCAGACATGGTGCTGGAGAAGGAGCTGAGAGCTCTACTTCTGGACCTACAGGCAGCAGGAAGAGAGACACTGGGCCTGGCTTGAGTTGAAACCTAAAGTCCTTGGCATGCTTCCTCCAACAAGGCCACACCTCTTAATATCACTCCCTATGGGCCTCTGGGAGCCATTTTCGTTCAAACCACCACAAGATCTGTTCTGTACTTACCTAATAGTCACAAGGATATTAGGTCACACACAGGGGCCAACAAATGGCTGTTTAGGGACTAAGATAGCCCAAGATGACTAGGCCCTGGACTTGGAGTATTCCGACTCTCTACAGTCAGTGATGTTCTGATCAGTTAAGCAGCCTTGCAGAGTACTGAATTAGTTGCAGCTTTCCCTGGGAGCTTCAGTTAATGCTACTAAGGTTTCATCTGAAGGAAGAGGAGAAACTGGTATATGCTTCAGCAGAGACCTGCTGTGGGGCTGGTTGAGAGGGCTCTGGCCAGGGCCTCAGGTTCCAAAACAAGTTCCTGGCTGTGGTTCAAGGTGAAGTCTGGTCACACTAAGAACCTTTGTTTGTCTTGCTCTGGATTGTCCCTTCTAGGGAGATTGGCAAGAATTTGCAACTAATAGATGGTAAGTTCTGTCATTACAGCCGGGAGTGACAGTGACCTCTTTCCTTGTTGCAGGTTGTTTCTAGAAAACCCCGACTGGTGTCCCCTGGGAAGGTTTTTTATGCCAACTTGACGGACAGTGTTTCTGCTTGCAGGGGCTCCTGTCCCCTGATGCTAACCAAGAGTGGAGGAAGGAGGCGAGGCTGAGCATGGACCAAGGAGAGGCTTCACCTCCTGCACCTGCAGGTAGGGATCCTCCTCCTTACAGGTGTCCCTGGCTCCTGTAGTTCCCAGGGTTCGGATGGAGGATTCCAGGTTCTGGAGTCACTGAAATTGCTACTGCTTGGTGTGGGGCGAGGAAGAGATGGTTTCTATTGTGGTACAATGGGACATGAGCTTTGACAGCCCCTGGCTTGTGTACCCATGTACCTGGGTGCCAGCGAGCTAGCCGCCTGTGTCCCAGCCTGTGACCTGTCCTCAGCATCTTTGATTCCTGGTGGTTTCTTGTGCCTGATCCAGTGTGTGCCGCACCCGAGATGGTGCCTTTGGGAGTGAGCCCTGCCTACCAGTCCTGTTCCCTCAGGAACTGGCAGTGTCTTGAGCAGCGGGAGTGGACTGGGACAGTATTCTTCCTGCTTCCTTCCTGCTGCAGGCAGCTCAAGGCCACACTGGGAGTCCTCCTCCGTCTGCTCTTGTGACCTCGCCAGAGCTATGTCCCCGCCAGAAAGATGGTCAGGGACGCTGGTCCCCAGCCTGCACGTGGAGAAGGAGCTGGGGATTCCAACTCTGCACAGCAGGGTCTGCAGATTAGGGTTGGCAGCAGCTGTGAGGCGGCTCAGCCACATGAGGCTGGCCATTCGTGTGTCCAGGACCCTGCAGGTGTGGGCTGAAAGGGACTCAGCACTGTCACCCTTGGCTATGGTCCTCTTGTCCCTCTCTGTCTGCTATGTGGGAGCTCTGGGCCTATATGGTGACACATGGGTATCACAAAGACACACGAACAGCTGTTTCCATCTAAGTTGTGGAGACACCATGAGCACCAAGGTGTAGATAGAAGATTCCAGTGCAGAGGCAGTCACCACTACCACCACAAGGAGACCGCTGTGCAGGCAAAGACTCAGGCTGGAAGCTCACTTGCTGGGGTTTTCTATACCCTAGAAACAGAGGCTATGAAAACAAGTTCCACTCACCTCTCCATGAGGATTTATAGGTACTAACAACTGCCAGTGGTATACAACCTAATAAAGCTCACTGGGTCATTAAAAAAAAGATGTGAAAGTACAAAGGGGGTAACTGGGAAGAGAAGGGAGTCATGCGTGAGAAGGAGAAGAGAGCACCATGGGAGGGGTGACTGTCATTACGTGAAATGACCTTGACACAGCAGTGCTGTGGTAAGAACACCTTCATTCTGTTCAGATCACGGGGTTCCAGCATGGCAGCGAGGATGTGAGTTGGAAACCTCTGATATGGGGGTGGGCAGGACCACTGCTGTTTCTTCAAGTAAGGGCCAAATGGTCTTGGATTGTGAAGGTGATACTGAAACCAGTATCGCTTTAGTGAGGCCTAGATAGCACGTGGCCCATCACTTCTCTCAGGTGTTTTATATAAAGGACAATGTGGGGCACAGCAGTGTGGATGGGCGACCGTTCCTCTTCTAGACCTCTGTAATCATTTCCATGAGCCGTCCTGGCTCCGCACCCTGGGACGCTTGCTACCAGGGGGTTGTTGCACATCTCCCCACCAGTGAGGATCTGGTAAGGCCAGTTTTGCCCAACTGTGCCTACTGTTGGAGTTGGCTCCCTGGTCCTGGCATGCTGCAGGCCAGCACTCTGTGCTTACCCTTCTGTCAGCCATACTTCCTGTTGAAAGAGCCCCAGGTTAGATGAGAAACACACACACACACACACACACACACACACACACACACACACACACA